ATTTAAAAATATTTTTAATTTTAATTTTGGAAGAAGAAATCAAATATTTAATATTCCCTCCATATGATTTTAATTCAAATAATTTGATTGAAAGAAGAGCAAAAATTTTGGAGGGATATCAAAATTTTAAGTTTCCTTCCAATAAATTTGATTGAATCCCACATAGATTTCTTAGAGTTTTTTGGAAGAATTTTTTTCTTATAAATAGATAGAGGCTTTCACAATAATTTCAAGCTCTCAATGGGATTCCTCACAAGAGGAGACCCTTAAAAGAGAGTTTCCAATTAAAATTTTATTATATATATATAATATATAATATAAGAAAGAGAAAAGAAAGAAAGAATAAAAAAAAAGAAAAAAAATACAAAAAGTTCGTTTTTATCAACCCGGTGAACCGGAACCGGGTCGACCGGTTCGCCGGTCCGACCGCCGATTTTCCCGGTTCTCCCAAAATAGGCCGGTTTTTCACTATGACCGGTTCTATGGGTGTACCCGGACCTGAACCGGCCGGTCCGGTCCGGTTTTGAAAACCATGGGAAAAATAACCCACTTTGCCAAAGAATTATGAAAATCAATTCGGCGAAAGTCATGTTTTTAAACCAAACATGGTCAAGAATAATGAACAAGCCACTGTTCATGAATTCGAAATTTTTAAAAATTTTCAAAGTGTCAAAAGGTATGAATTTTTATGGTCACGCTATACCATGACTATTGTTGTTCAAAATCTACTTTGGATTTGTGGATCACACCAAAATATAATTCTGATGACGTGGCTAATAAAATTAACAAATTGTTCTTATGAGTTCGAAGCACTAAGAACAGGCACTACAACAAAAAACACATTTGGCGACCCAAAATTTTGTCGCCAAAAGTACAAATTCCGTCGTCAAAAGAATCGGCGACAAATATACAACTTGTCACCAAAGGCCTGTCACTAAAAGTATTGGCGACGAAATCAGAAATTGTCACCGTAGGTAGACATTTAGCGACAAGCAAAATTGGTCGCCAAAAATCATATATTTTGTCGCTATAAAATTACAATTTGTTGCTAAAAGGTTAAAATTTGGATAGGCTATGTATTTTTAGCGACAAATAAATGCGTAGCCAAAAGTACTATTTAATGACAAAATTAATTTGGTCACTAAAAATCATGTTTTTAGTGACGTGTAAGTTTTGGTTGCTAAAAGTTCTTAGAATAACCACTAACTTTTAGCGACAAAAACAATATGTTGTCGCCAAATATATTAACAGCGACTAAAATACCACCTGTCACTAAAAATTCAGTACACAAATTTTTATTTTAATAATTTTCCTGTTCAAAATAATCCAAAACACCTGTTTTCCTGTGCACAATATATACACAAATGTAATGTAAATAATAATACACCTGTGCAAGACATTCATACTAATTCAAAATTAATAGCTATGAAAAATCCCAATAAACATAATTACAATTCTCTGACAATCTAAAACATGCATACCAAAGTACTTACAAACTACTAACATCAAACCCATAAATACATTACCAAATCCTACGTCAAAATATTTTCAAAATTACAACCAAATATTTTGATGTTAAACATCTAACCAACAAGTCATTTACTAAAATCCTATATCAAAATATTTGCAAAAACACAACACCAAATATTTTGATGCTAAACATTTAATCCATAAATCATTTACCAAAATCCTATGTCAAAATATTTCCAAAAACACAAAATCAAATCTTCTGATACAACCCAAACTATTTTCCACCATTGCCAATCTGTCACATGAAAAAAGAAAAAACAATATTAGATTGACAACATTGTCAATCTGTCACATGAAAAAGAAAAAACAATATTAGATTAACAAGAAAAAAAAACTTAGTATGATTTTGATTTTAATTTTGTAATGGGAAGTCCAATCGGGTGCTGTTTGCTCATACAACTCTATTTAGGCTTGAACAAGCTACCCGTGCCAAGTTTCGGTGGTTTCAGTGGTCATTTTGCAATTTTGGCCCCCGAACGGGCCTTTTCCCCAAATATATTCACGTCCTTGATCCTTTCGATGCTCCAACGTCTTTGTATTTATTTTTCTTTTCTTTTTTATTGTTACTTTTTTGGATATGGAAACAAAATTACAACAGAAACAGTCTGAATATGCATGCCATTGGACCTTGAGCTTGAGTGTTGCCATCATTGAGATCAAATGGATTCCTTGATTTTGCTGAATTGGGAAAAGCTAGCATGGACTAAATGAAAAATGTAAGTTAGAAGAAACTATTATAAGATTGCTGGAGTTGATATTCAACTTCTTTGACATAGATATTTTGGCGGGTTTATATACCATGGCTGTAGGATGGTACTGCATGCCATATCCCATTCCATAAGGTGGATGGACTTGCCAACTTGGAACTGGTGCTGGAAATGATGAATGGTTTGCAGTGAAAAGGTCCTGCAGAATTTAATTCATATTATTTACAAAATTTTAGCCAAAACACAAAAATCCACAAAATTGTAGAACATTTAGGAAAAATTGCAATTACCGATGGAAGTTCCTGCCTCCCACGAGACTTTGTTTCTACCAGAAGAGTTTGTGACCCAAATCTAGACGTGGTATCTTGGATTACTTTAGAGCTGGGTTGAGATGAGTCTCCAGCAGCAGCACTTGATGAATCTTGAGCATTTGGTGTAAGTGATGAAGTCCATGTCTATAAGGAGAAACACACTACCTATTACATCTCAGGAAACGGGTTTGAAACTTTTAAATCATTTTACATCTCATCTTCACTTCAACACATCCAGATTTTGATCAATTGGCGCTAACACAGTTGACCAGAATCCCTGCAACTCACTAGGAGGTCAAAGGCTTGAGTCCTACACAAGCAAATGAACTTGACTATTTTCACCTGAGTTCACTCTTTTATGTTCCTGTGATTTCCTATCAACAGAGCCTGGATCATTCGAAGATTTTGTTTTCTGCACTGAAAAAGATTTAAAGATTAGAATGCAACATGCTTTTAACTTCATAGGATTACAGAATAAGCTAGGCTACCAAATACATTATTAGCAAAATTCTTCTGCCAAAAAAGTAACAAGAAGCCGAAAATGAACTTAACAAATAGACATTTGTTACCCTCTTGGGGCAATGCGATGATCCTGTCGGCTTATTTATACCAATTGCCACACGAGTTGTCACGATAGTAAATATTGCTGCATTTGAGAGCAACAATATTTACTTTTAAACACTACAAAAATGTAATTTCATCTAGTTTTGCAAAGAAAATACCATTGTTGAGATATTGCCAAAAACTTGGCTTCCTATTTGCATGAGAAATGGAATCAGTGAATGGAGGCAGAACAAAGAAAATTAGTGTAAAATAAAAATTATTGATGTTCATCGCCTTTTACATGAAACAACAGAAATCAGTCCATTGTAATTTTTTCAATTCTGCATTAGGTCAATGGAGGAATACTAAGGAGTTTGGGTACTTGCTACTTTATGTGGTTTAATAGAATACAGAGAAGATTTATATATCTATAAGAAAGTATAGTCTGTACAGAGACTGAGTGCAACAACCTGCCCAGGACAATTGTTTTGGACCATTTCACAGCTTTCAATGATGAAATAGTCTCAAGAAACAAGAATCAGCCCAATAAAGAATAAGATCTGATATGACCAGCTTTAGCAAAACCAAGAATCTCAAAGAGAACAACATAAAGGGGATGCCACCACTATTAAGTTTTCACAAAAAATGCTACACCAGAATGACATAAAGAAAGTTGCAAATTGATAAGCCATGGTGAATATAGGATTCCATCCAATAAGAATTTTCATACTTTCACCTCGTAAATTCTGTGCAACTTGCATGATTCTGCACAAAATTGCCAGTGGTAATGCTCTCTCAAACTACCAGAGAATCACATGGAAAGTAATATCTTACTGGAAAGGAGGACATCTTGAGCAAATTACACTAAAATACAATAATGGAAACACACACATAACACATAAACACAAAATACTATCACTACATAATTAAGTAATTAATCTCACCCTGCCATGAGTAGAGCTCTCATTATCCATCCTGTCATTTGCTTCAGGAGATTTGCCTACCCGCAAATTTGGAACATTTTCACCCAAAATATCCCTGACTGGGTGCACTACTGGGGGACTGGTGACGTTCCTGCTTTTGGGATAAACTGGTGACTTGCCCCGTGCCCTGGACTCTGCATTAGAAGGCCTATGCGTTTCAGATCGCTTGCCACTTCCATTCCCATCATCTTGAAACCTGTCATCGACTATCTCAAAGTTAACGGGACGGTTCCTGTGAGTGCTAGATCTGACATTGTCTAGTTTGTACCCTGGACTTCTTCTTTCATCAATATAATATTTTGAACTTCTGTCATCACTCCTTTGTCCAGAACTAGGTCTTTTACCTGAATGCCAATCACAGGAGTCTTCCTCCTGTAGCATACAAAAGAAATATTTTTTTATTTAGGAGATGAGTTTATCTATGAGAAAACCAAGTAGAAAATGGAAATTGAAATGAATGCGACAGAACAGCATGAATTGGATTTCTCTATATCGACCAGAACAATATGAGGTCAGAAAAGCTTTTCAAGGGGAAAAAATACCACAGTTGTGCATAAATGATGATGAGTAAGACACTTACTGTTTTCACCATTGCAAGCTTGTCCATACTCCTCCCACCAGTAAATTTTCTATCCACATAGACATGTTTAATAAAATCTCGAAGTCTATTTTGGTTACTGGATTGCAAAAAAAATTGAATAAGTTGTCATCTTTATGGAGTATCCTAACAGAACACCAATTAAAATACACAAGCACCTGCAATCTGGAAATGAATGACGCTGTGGATCCCACTCTTTGAAGTAAATTTCCCTTGCTTGCTATGAAAATGGAAAACATATTGACCAATCATAAGCAGAAAGGTTTGATTTACAGTAGAAGAGAGGAATACAAAAGAGCGGGAAAAAAAAAGCAGCTCTATTTTAAATGGGTCACACACCTCATTTCCCCCCAGCTTGAAGAGCATTAACTTCTTCTGTATTAAATTTAGCCATTGACACAGATTTTACTCGGTGGGAGAATTCCCGACTACAATTAATCAAGAGAATAATCAATCAAGCCAGGAAAAATATACTAAACTAAAATCCGACAGTGTAATATGAAATTAAATACAGCCCAATTTATCAGGACTTCCATTGATATCATGCAAAATTTCAGCATGCATCACACACAGCTTAATATAACTGAGAAAAGTGTAGGAAAGGAACAAATGTAAAGGCACAGATCAAAACTTACTGCACTCCACTACAGTTGGTGCAAACAAAGGTCTAGAAAGTAGTGCACACATATTGTGGCCCCTGATTAAAGAACACATGTCAGCCATAGTATTGAACCAAACAAAGGACTTTCAGAATTATGAACAGCCTTCGATATGGAACTATAATTTCATTTGTTGAACCACAGAGGAACAAAAAAAAAAAAATTCCATAATTGTAATAATTTCACTTCAAATCCATGAATGATGTACCACAAGTACTCCTTACTCCTGTTAAATAAATAAATAAACTAGGACAGCTCCACAAATACTTTCCCTGAAAAAGAAAATGGACAGCCAGCGATGCTACAGAAAAATCATTTAAGTGTTGTGTGCAATGTTAGCAAAACTTGTAGAATTACAGCTGTAGCTGTTCATATGCAAATGGCACAGAAAGGCGAGTTGAGAATTCAAGTATAGAAACAGAGAATGAGGTCTAGCGTTGACTTTTGTATGTGCCAAGCACTAATGCCCCCACTAAAATCTTATCTTGAAAGAATCCTTAGCTGGATCGTATGTCATCACAACATCGAAACTTAAGTCAAACCTCCCAGTGGCAAACACCATATGAAAAAAAATCCATTTCTTATATTTCAAACTCTAACGTGGTGTTTGGTTGGGGGATTTGGAAAGGAAAAGGAAAAATGTAGATGAAATGTAAATAAAAATATGCCTACATTTCATATAGTTTCACACACATTTTTCCTTTGTCTTTTCAAACCTCTTTCTAAATCTCCTAACCAAACACAGCGCAAAGGTGTCTAGAATGATAACTTTTTTCACCTATTTCTTCCCACAATTCTCCTTGATGAAGTAAATTAAGTCAAAAGAAAGCGAAAAAAGCTATAAATATAAACAACACTTTTAAGGAATCTCCTATCCTGTCTGTTTTTCGTAGTCTCGATCCAAAGTCAGCATTAAGAAATCTAGAGTGATATGTAAGTAGAGAACTTGGATTCAGTTTTCACTCATATAATACATCAATTCAGACAAGAAGCAACCATTTTTACCTATTGAATACATAAAATTGATGAATTATGTATTCTATAAAACTATCGAATCATCTTATCACAAGAATCTCAGCTATTCACATTGAACTCCACATTTCTAGATTCAAATAATAAACAACCATAAAACAAATTGAAAAAAACAAGAGAGGCAAAGTCACACACCAGACTGTTACAATTGATACATCTCCGATTCTCCGGAAGCTTCAAAAGGTTACGAATGATCCTTTCGATTCTCTTTTCTTCCTTCACTCGGATCGGCATTTTCCCCAAATATATTCACGTCCATACCCAAAATTATAATATCAATCCCCCAAAAATACAAAATCAGTCCGAAATTCTGAATATACCAGTCCCGAAAATCAGTTCCAAAATCAGTCCAAAAATCGCAATATCAGTCCGAAAATCACAATATCAGTCCGAAAAATCAGAATATCAGTTCGAAAAATTAGATTGATGACAAAAAAGAAAAAGGGGAAGATGAGAGAATGTGAGAGTGTGAGGGAAAAATCAGTCCCATTGATTGTGTTGTGTTCTGCAATGCCGAACAAGAGAATGAAATTGATGATAAAGAAGAAAGAGAGGAAGATGAGACAGTGTGAGAGAGTGAGAGTGAGAGGGAGAAGGAGAGGGAGAGGAAGTGGGAAAGCGAAGAAGATGGAGAGAAGACATGCCTCTTTGTCTTCTGTTGTGCCGCTTTAGGTTGTGGAATGAGAAGACGAAGAAGACTCATGTTAGGTCAAGCTTGTTTATTCGATCAATTAAAAAAAAATAAAAAAACAGATTCAAAACGACGTCGTTTTGACAATAAATTTATTTGCGACAAAAATTATTTTGTTGCCATAAATATCATTCACCTTTCAGCGACTATTTTAATTCTGTCGCCAAAAAGTCCAAATTGGCGACAAACATTTTCGTCGCCATATATTAATTTCGTTGCCAAAACTTTTTTAGCGCTCCCGCGCAAAAAATTAAATTGGTGCCAACCATTTTTGGCGACGAATTGAGATATTTGTTGCTAATGGTGTATTTTTTGGCGACCAACACGTATATTGTCGCCAAAAACATACAATTGGCAACTAAATTCAATTTGGTTGCTAAAAAACGTCGCCAAAAATGCTTTTTGTTGTAGTGAGGGGATGGCCATTTAAAATGCATGAACTTGGTTAGGAAAAGCCTATGCATTTAAATAATTGGTTGAGAATGGCTTATCTTTTCAAATTGATGGCCAGTTATTTGTATGTACACAATCAAAGTATCGAAGATACATTCGAAGCATCAAGAGTTGTTTCGAAGGTTGATTACTTCATCTTCGAAGTTGTATAAAGCTTTGAAGATACATTCGAAGCATCAAGAGTTATTTCGAAGGTTGATTACCTCATATTCGAAACTGTATAAAGCTTCAGAGATACATTTGAAACGTCGAGCCTAACCTTGAAACTTCATTGTAAGTATCATCATCCTATATCAATGCTTCCAACCTTCGAGGGGTTATGTTGTTCCTTCAAAACTGTGCCGCAAGACTTTCGAACGATGAATTTGGTCTTTTATACCACCTTCGAAGCTTGTTATTGATCATCTAGTCATAATTTCATACTTATTCGAAGCACTTTATTAGTACTATTATATCATTCGAAGCACTTTATTGGTGCTATCATATCATTCGAAGCACTTTGTTGATATTATTCGAAACATTTTATTGCTTAGATTAGTCATGTGCTTGGTTCGATCCTTCAAAAATTCAAGCAAACATCATTTTTAAGGGCCGCGGGGGGTAATGTTAGCACCATAAATCTGTAAATTTTATTATTTATATAATTGCAGGACATGTGGCATCCTTCTACTCATTTGGAGATTATGAAAAGTTATGAAATATGAATAGATGATGGACAATGTGGAGGATCATGGAGCATAATGTGGAAGAACATGGAGGACAAAGTAGAGAATTAGAGATGATGGAGAATATGAAGGACAAAGTGGATGAGTGGAAGGACACATGGCAAGACAAGATTGAAGATGGAAGAAATGGGTAGTTACTAAGTAGTTATTGCTGTATTTTTTCCTCTATAAATAGCCATTAATGGTTACATTGTAAGATCCCAGAACTAAAATCAAAGACAATTGATTTTAATATTTCTTGTCACTTTCCTTTACTTAGGAGTAGTTTAACATAGATTTATATTTCGAAACATTTATTTTCAGTATTTCCATTTCGAAGCATTTTATGCACTTCTTTTTCGAAGCATAGGAGTAGAGGTAAGTAATTTTTACTATTGATTGTTCACTCAATTATCTTTCTTTGTCTCCTTATTTCTTCTTTTAATTTTTCTTTTCTCTACACTTGGCAATTTTGAAGTCCTCTTTGTTGAGGCAAAAGAACCATCAAAGCAATCGCTTGATAATTGGCTTGAATTTAATCTGTAAGGATTTTTCAATCCTTACTGGCATGCTCGTATTTATGATATTTTCCTTCGTAGGAAAAATAAGCCAACAATTTTTGGCACGCCTAGTGGGACGTCAAGTGTAAGAAATAAAAAATGAATTGGATTCGTCCATTTCAAATAGCCTAGATGAAATCTATTGGCATAAACAAAAACTTTTGGATCTTCAAGAGGAAATCCATTTTATTTGTGAAACAAACTTCTATCCGTTACAATATTATTTGGTGGAAGAAAAAAGACATGATTTAATTGGAGAAATTCATGAACTTTATATGGAAATTTGCCAATGGAATGATGAGTTGTCAACTCTCACTACCAAGTCTTTAACTAAGGCTTTAATGGTCGGAATTGGTGAATTTTTCAGAATTTTTCCATGGTTGAAAATAGTAAAAACAAAGAGTTGATTTCATCAATGGTTCGGGGGGTTCAACAGCCCGTTTTTAAAGAGCCAAATTATGAAATTAACATAACGAAAGAGTATGTTTTTGAGCCAAATTTGGCTAAGAATGATGTTTCATACATGGCGGCTCGGGGGGTCCAAAAACCAATTTTTAGAGAGTCAAGTCATTAAAATAACATTCTTATGGGGGATTTTCATAAGCCATTAGTGGCTAACATGGAAAAACAACCCACTTTGCCAAAGAATTATGAAAATCAATTCGGCGAAAGTCATGTTTTTAAACCAAACATGGTCAAGAATAATGAGCAAGCCACTGTTCATGAATTCAAAATTTTTGAAAATTTTCAAAGTGTCAAAAGGTATGAATTTTCATGGTCACGTTATACTATGACTTTTGTTGTTCAAAATCTACTTTGGATTTGTGGATCACACCAAAATATAATTCTGATGATGTGGCTAATAAAATTAACAAATTGTTCTTATGAGTTCGAAGCACTAAGAACAGGGGATGGCCATTTAAAATGCATGAACTTGGGTAGGAAAAGCCTATACATTTAAATAAGTGGTTGAGAATGGCTTATCTTTTCAAATTGATGGCCAATTATTTGTATGTACACAATCAAAGCATCGAAGATACATTCGAAGCATTAAGAGTTGTTTCGAAGGTTGATTACTTCACCTTCGAAACTGTATAAAGCTTCGGAGATACATTTGAAGCGTCAAGCCTAACCTTGAAACTTCATTATAAGTATCATCATCCTATATCAATGCTTCCAACCTTCGAGGAGTGATATTGTTCCTTCAAAACTGTGCCGCAAGACCTTCGAACGATGAATTTGGTCTTTTATACAACCTTCGAAGCTTGTTATTGATCATCTAGTCATAATTTCATACTTATTTGAAGCACTTTATTAATGCTATTATATCATTCGAAGCATTTATTGGTGCTATTATATCATTCGAAGCACTTTTATATTATTCGAAGCATTTATTTGCTTAGATTAGTCATGTGCTTGGTTCGGCCCTTCAAAAATTCAAGTAAACATCATTTTTAAGGGCCGCGGGGGTAATGTTGGCACCATAAAATATTATTATTATTATTATTATTTTCAAGACACGTGGCATCCTCTTATTCATTTGGAAGTTAAAAGAAGTTATAGAGATGATGGAGAATATGAATGACAAAGTGGATGAGTGGAAGGACACATGGCAAGACAAGAATGATGATGGAAGTAATGGGTAGTTATTAAGTAGTTGTTGCTGTATTTTTTCCTCTATAAATAGCCATTAATGGTTACATTGT